GATCATCATCTTCCAGGCTCTTACCTGAATTTGAGGCATGCCTGTCTCGATTCTTAACTGGGCATTTGGAGTTCCTTTGGGTGCAGCTAAGATGGCTCTCAAGAATTTGGTTTGTATAGTTTCTAGCAAGTCTTTTTTTTTTTTTGCAAGGATTCCTGTTTGTGCCCCATATAGAATTTGTGCCAATGTTTTGGCCTCAAAAAGTTTTAAGGCCGCAGGTACTAATTGCCCTCCACCAGTGTAAAACAAAATGTTTAATTGCATTTGAGGACCTATAGGTTGTTTGCAATGTGTGATCCAGGTGTGCCTTTCACTTCCCTTGAGTGGAAAACCACCCCGACATATCTAAATGTCCTAACCTGTTCTAAACTATGTCCTTCTATTTTTCAGGAGTATTGTCTAGGTCTTTTAGCAAAAACTCAAACTTCTCATTTGACAGTTAAGGACCTGCTTATTCTGTCTACAATATTCAAGTGTTGTCGTAATTGCTCTCTTCAGTCCTATGGGAGTTTATGAAATTATAGCAGCAGTAGCAGCAGCATATAGGAGAATTGGAATTTTACGTTGTGCTACATTAGGAGGATGTAAATCAGAATTCTGTAAAAGATCGACCAGGGGGTAAACATAGAAGTTAAAAAGGGAGGGGGACAGGATGCAACTCTGCCGTACCCCTTTTTGTACCCTTACTGGACCGGTTAAAGTCCCTTGAGGATTACACCTCCCTTTCAAGGTGGAATTAGCATACAATTTTTGTATGAGGAAAAGGAGGCATTTATCAATGGTAGCACATTTTAATTTCTCCCAGAGCGTGTTCCTGGATATTGAATCGAAGGCCTGCTTAAAATCAAGGAAGGCCATGAAAGGATTTTTTTTTTATTCGTGTATTTTTGAACCAGATGGTGAAGTACCAAAATATGATCCACCGTTGATCTTCCTTCTCTAAAACCAGCTTGTTCCTCTTTGATTATTCCCCCGGAAATTAGCCAATCCTGAAGTTTATAGTTTAGGTGTTTGGCATACAATTTACTAATAACACTCAGAAGACTAATAGGTCTATAATTGCCTGGATCATTTCTATTACCTTTTTTATACATTGGTATGATAATTGCTATTCCCCAATCTCTTGGCATATGACCCGTTTTATCTATAAATGTAAACAGAGATGCTAAAAGTGGAGCCCACCAACTGGCATTATTTTTTATTATTTCTGGCCGGACATTGTCAGCACCTGGTACCTTATTAGCCTTGAAGGTTCTGATCAACCAGGATATCTCTCCTGGTGTAACTGGGGGCCAGTAAGGAGTTTGGTCCAAACTAATTTGGCTCTCTTTAGTTACATAGTCGGGGTCTGTATAAAGCTCTCTAAAATATTCTTCCCAGACATGAATTGGTACCTGATTAGTTGGGGGTAGCTGGGATTTCCCCAATGTGATCTTCCCAGGGGCTTACAAGAAGCCAGCCAATGCAGAAAGCTGAAATCACTTAATATGTGATTTGCTTAATAACCGTGGCAAAAAGATATAAAGCCAGGCGTGACTCACTTAACAACTGCATCACTTAGCAACAGAACTCCTGGTTCCAATTGTGATAAGCTGAGGGCTGCCTGTTCCCCAAGAGAACAGAAAAGATATTGTATGTGCTCTTTATATGTACTACTCAGAACAAATTGAATTCTACCTACATATAGGTGGTTCTCAACTTGTAGCCATTTGTTTAGTGACCATTCAAAGGGACAGCAGCACTGAAACATGACTTATGACCAGTTTTCACACTTACAATCTTGGAACCCCATGGTCACGGGATCAAAATTTGTCCACTTGGAAACTGGCATGTATTTATGACAGTTGCACTGTCCTGCAGTCATATGATCACCATTTATAACCTTCCCAGTCGGCTTCTGACAAGATTCACTTAATGACTGCATGATTCACTTAACAATTGTGACCAAAAAAGCTCATAAAATGAGGAAAAACTCACTGCCTTGCTTAGTAACAGAAATTTTGGACAAGTGTGGCCATAAATTAAGGACTATCTATATAAGCCTTTGGCACCAAATGTAGATGGGTGAATCTCTTGGGTCTAGTTAAAAAAAAAAACAGAGTTCAACCTGAAGTCCGCCCATTCTGTTTTCAAATTATCTTAAGTGTACTAAGACACACTGACATGACTAGCATGATATGCTGCTTATCCTTGATTAACTGAGCTATCATTCACTTCCATGCCTAGGTTTAGTGAGCAATGAATCATACAGGCTGGTAGACCAAAAGAATTTCACGAATTGCGGATCAGTATTATACATATCCAGCCCATGCACTCTTTTATAGTTCCAAAGGTTATTGGAAACCCAGAAAACTGGGTTAATTGGATGAATTAGGGCCATGGGCAAGGGTACTGTGCCAGCATAGCATAAGGACTCCAACTTGAGTAGATGTGATCTTGGAAAATCTGCTGTCATCCTCTACAAAGGCCTTATGTTGCCAACTATAAGTGGGGATCCCTTGCTATGTTCTGTGACCAGTTGAACTGGTTTCATGATCAAAACAGCTAAATTGCACAGGTCCCAATATACAGCTGATGTAACTCTTTCATCAAAAATATTTTGATGTGACTAAAATATTTATTTTTTTAAAAAAAGAATCAATCTCAAAGCAACTTCCTGGAAATCATGTTCCTCATATTCCTATGCTCTTCGCACATTGTGCTCAATCTGGCAGCCTTTTTTTTTTTTCATTTTGTTGTTCCCCTTTCTGAATAAATATCTTCTAACTGCATGTACCAACTCTGTTGTTTCTAATTTTCTCTGGCATATTTCAAAGCATTTTCTTCCTCACAATTTTAAGTATCTCCAATTTCTGTCTTTTCTGTTCAGCAAACTGAACTCACATCAAAATGATAATTTCACTGTAATGATAATGTCACAATGCAAACTTTGCCCTTACATGCTTGTGTCTTGACATCTGACAAAAGGGAAAGTTTCTTTTGCTTTATGTTGATTTGCTATTATGTAAATGATCATTTTTATGCAATAATTCACTTCATGTGACAAAAGTACTGTGTTATTTGGGCCAGCATAGTCAATTTGCTTTAGAAATCTGAGAACATGCCAAGCCATCATCCTGCTAAAACTGCTTGAACATTTTCACACTAAACAGTTTCTTCCCTCACTCAGACATTTATCATTGGGTCATGCAGCTGTTCTAGTTGTATGTCCTGCCTCCATGCCAGCAACAGCTACTACTCTTACTAAGAGATCAAACCATCATCTTGTTCAAAACAAAAAGAAATAAAGTTGAACAAATTAAGTTAAGCTGCTGCAAAATCATCAATCCTAGGACAAACTTTTAATGTAGGTAAATCTATACATCACAACGTAGCAAAGAATAATAAAAGTTCATGATGCCACAACGTATTCTACCACCTTCTCTGCCATGGTAACTGTGCATCTTAGAAATCCAGCTGTAGACAAGATTGAGAAAGACAGACAATGCTTTCACTGTACAGAGGACGTGAGACAAGAAAAGAAAAATGGTTTGAGTAACATTTTGCTTAAGACTAAAGCTCTACAAATGTACAGGCAGTCCTTATATAGCAATTGTCTCATTTAGCAATCCTTTGCAGTTATGATGGTGATAAAAAAGTAACCAATCCTCACATTTAGAACATTTTTAGTTCTATAAAGCTGAAGTAAGATTGTAAACACAATTGCAGTTTCACTTAGCAATTGCTTTGCTTAATGACCAAGCTGCTGGTCCCAATTGTGGTCACTAAGTGAGGATTACCTGTATGAGTCCATTTGTCAGTGCATTTGGGTTACATACCCTTCAATTGGTTTTCGACTAGTTCAGTGTCTTGCTTTATGCAAATTCACTTTATGTCAGGTTTTCAGGGAATATATTCTTAGCATGAAGTGAGGGAATCCTGTATGGAAGTCACAATTTTTGTGTCATGATGTAGAAATCCATTCAATCTTCAGGCTTATTCTTTATGGAATCCATCTATCATTGCTTAGCTATCACATGTGACGAAAGCCCATCTCTTTGGACATAGTGATATTTCTTCCACGTTTGTGCAGATAGGTATATTTGGTACCATACCCCAAAATGATAAGTTGTCTATAATGAAGGTTATTATCTCACATCTAGCAGTTTCACAGTTGGTAACATTGGTTAGAGATGCTATGGCTAATCTTCGGTGTGTGGATATTACATCTCATCTCTCATTTACTGTAAGGACACTGATCAAATAAAACTTTATTGAATTATAATCTATGAACAGATGGTACAGTTATGATAAATTGCCTTCCTTTACAGCTATAATCCAAGAATAGATTGTATCAGATATGGTAAATTGCTTCTTCTTAAAGAAACACATCTAGAAACCTCCTTCAAGAGCTATTCGGTTTATCACAAATTCAGAATAACTGTTGAGGTTGTCACATGAAGCCTACCATCAAATTTATTTTTTAAAAAAAATTATAAATACTGGTTATTTTCCTTTTCTTGGCCATCTATGGTTTCCTGTCATTTGCACACTCCACTTTTCTTGCAGTTGTCTTGTTTTTCCTGTTCCCTCTTTTTAAGAGTGAGGAACCACTCACATTTTACTTACAGTCCACTGGAACAAATCAGCTGTCCTCACAACCTGAATTCCACAAATTCCCTATGAATGGGAATTGCCTGTAACTTTTACAGCAAAGAGCCACGTGAGGGCATAAAATAATGTATAAGGAAATAAACCTTCTAGGGGAAAAGTAGGCCTCTCCCAAGGAACAATAAAACTCTTTAAAATCCCCAAGTGGAATGAATGGGGATGAGCGGAAGGAAGGCTGGCACTTATATATAATAGCCAAAACCATCATTTGTTTTTAAATCTTGTATTGAGATAAGCCTTCGGGTTTCCAAGATTTTCCTTTATGAGAGGTCCAGAATCCAGAAAGAAAGAGTTACTCCCGCGCTTCTTTTCCCTCCTCCTCTTAAAGAAGACTTATACCTTACACTCACCTTCTCCGCGTCGTCTCCCAGAGGGATGCCCAACTCCTTAAGGCCACTTTGTAGCTCAGCAATGTCTACTCGACCATCCTGGTTGCGATCTAGTGTCTTGAAGAGGTTTTCGTACCTCGACTTACTTTCGGGCGCTTCACAGGCAGCCTCCGGGAACACAAAGCCCCCCCAAAAGCGGAGCATTGTGCAGTCTTAAGAATTTTTAGTCAGGAAGGCTAAACAACAAAAGGGAGATGAATAAGCAGGAAGGGAGCCAAAACACGATCCACGCAAGAGCCCAAACGTAAAAAAAACGAATAAATCTAAAGGCCTCGCGTTATGGCCAAGTCTTTTTTTAAAAAAAAAATACCGTTGGCTTTTTGCAGTTCTTGGGAGGAGCCATCCAATAACAAAGACGACGGGCGAGAGGCAACACCCCAAGAGGGAGCAGGAAGGGGAAGAGCTGGTTTCTCCGGGTTTGCTCACTCACGGCATAGGAGGGGCTTGGTTCCTTTGGCCTCCTCTCTACGTACATAAAGGAGCAGAGTTTGCAGGAAAGCAAATTACGCAGTTGGGGATAGTCAACTTCAGCCCGGGGAGCCCGCTACAGTCTTTACTGTAGTCTTTGCAACTGTAGACATAACAAGGCGCGCCACTTTGTCTCTCTCTGTGTGTGTGTATGTCTTGTCTCTCTTTTTTTTAAACGTCCGAACCTGTGGCGCGATCGCGTTAGAGGTAAAATCCCAGGGGATCTCCGGAAGATTTTGCCGCCGAGGAGAGATGCCGCAACGGTGGCATCTTAAAAGGGGCTCGCCAGGGAGATGCGGGTCCAATTAGAAATCGCGCTGATTCACCTGGAAAACAATCGCCTTGGAGCGAGCGCGGCTTCCCGTGAAACAGAGCTTGTTTCTCCATCGTGCGAAGGCTGAATCTTTTTTGACGTTTGGCTTCCGCTGAGTTTTGAGGTCTGGGATTTGGAACATTTACGCGTTTTAGTATGTCTAAGATGACGTTGGCTGGACGGCTGTGTAATTTGTCTCTGAGCCTCCCTTTGGTTATCAACCTGATTGTCCCCGCATTTGTTGAATTGCGAGCGATCTTGCTTATCGAGGGTAACAGAAGCTGCCCAGGTAGCCGCAGGGCATGGTCGAAAAAGTCAAGATAGTGACCGCGGCGGGGCGAACGAAGCTCCGCTTGTTGTTTATATCTTTCTTTTTTTTTTTTACCATACCCTGCGGACACTATTGCGTAGCGCAGAACATCTAGAGATCCGAGATTAAGAAAGGCTGCGTGGCGGCCAGATATGTGGCAGACAGATATGTAACACGCAGAAACTAGTCCCGTTGAATTTTATTTGTTTGTGAACGACAATTTTCAATAGTAAGAGTAATCCTATTGGATCACTAATTGGATAACAGAAGAGGGTCTTTAACTATGATTAAAAGTGGCCTAATAGTAAAGTGACCTAAGATTACAGGGAGAGCCCAAAAATTGTTTTATCAATCCTTACATAAATATCTTCACATGTGTGTTACACACATACCAGTATCATAGCTATCTCCTTACCTACATTTTGGGGGGCGAAAACTGAAAAAGGGATTGAGCAGAACATGTGCCCAGTTCTAGGGGCTCCAGTAGGAGTAGGTTCTTCAAGAAATGAATGGGTTCAGCATACACTATAGCAGGAAAAGCTTTATAATAATGTATATTTATTAAGAAAATCAATTTCATACCCTTGGCTATTATGAAGATTGCAACTAAAGGAATTCCTAGAAAAATGTGTGGGAGGCAGATAATGACAAACTATCCAACCCCAAAATTATAAACTATGGTTAATAAACCAATTCAAAGTGATGTAGTTAATATTAAGAAAAGGTTAATGGTTATAAACTGCTTCTACAATTTGCCCCATCTGACTGGCTCAGAAAAGGCTGTAACTGGTGAAGGAGTTGTAACTGTGCAATTGCACTCCTTTATCACAGCCATCACTGCAAAACCAGTTACAACTAAGGATCAAGGAGCATCTACTTATTCGAGCAGAATGAGACCCCCATCCAGCACATTGAACTCCAGTTTCCTACAAACCAACAGCCCCTCTGTTCTGTATGGGTTTAAGTTTAGCTTGTTTTCTTATAGCAGAGTTAGAGCAATCCATAGCTCTAAACAAATTGGTAACAAAAGACATGTTTTTAGAGGCAGAAAGCATCCCCCAATCTTTCTTAATAGCCCACAGCAGATGCCAGCACTTAAGGAGATAAAGAGATTATTGAAAGAGGAGGTCAACTATATAGATGGCTCCATTCATAAGCAAAGCAAATACTGCCAGCAGAAGCCCATTCAAGACAGGATATTTTGAAACTCCTTGCAGCAAAGTTTGTCAGCTAACAAAAGCATAATGGCAAGATTAGAACAAGCAGCCCCTCACCCAAGATCGAACACAGGATGAAAGCCAATTGCCCAACACCCTTTCAAAACACAAGCCCTTTCGTTGCACAACCCCCAGAACAGTTCAAACTTCAAAGTCACAGAAAGCTATAAAGATCCATCTGCTCATTCAACCATTTATTCAGCTGACCCAGAATTGCACTCTGTCTTTGTGTGGGGTTCTGTTCAACAATAAACTTTCCAATCAAACCCCATGTTGTTTCCAGCATCTTCCAGCTGGGAACTGAACCACATGGATTTTCTTTCCAACAATATTATACATTGTCATTATTTAATATATAGAGAAAGGTCAGGAGACCCAGAGCTCCCACAGGAAAATTGAATGTAAATTAATATAAATGCCAGTTTCTTAAAAGTTCGTCTTTTATCACTCTTTTTCCTCTCTGGATCTGTTAATAACTTAAAATTTCCCAGGAAAAGATGATGATTAGCTTTTTATACCACTTTTTGTTTTTATTGGCATATATTGGTCAGCTAAAAGGCAGGAAACATATCTAATATTTTTGCCTCATATTTTCCCCACAACAGCCCTGTTGTTGTATCTGTAATAGCTTTATACCATATAGTATTAACTTTGTTAATTCTGAAGACTCTTTTTCTGCTCTGTAGTTGTGTGTGTGTTTTGAGAGTGAGCATCAGAATTTCATTTTTTAAATGTGCGCCAGTTGGTTCACAGAAAAAAGTGACAATATAGGTTATCTTATCTTATTACATTATTAACAAGATGAATTCCTACAGTTCCAACATTCACACCACAGGTGGCATATTCTTTTCATAAAAGGCTTGCTATACAGTACAGTTACATGTTGTTCCCGCACAAAACATATAATTTCAGGCAACACAATCTAAGTTGTAGGTGACAGGCAATAAAAACAAGAAGCATAATTACAATTACAAAACTGATGTTTCCTTTAACTTGTTGGATTTATGTCCTATCGTTCCACTAAGAGCAGGAGGGAATGTGCATAGCATTCCTTCCTCTATTTCCTCCACAACCACAATCCTATCAAGTAAAAAGGTAGTGACTTGCCCAAAATTACTCATTACATTTCACTCATTGCTGGCTACAGATGATAGGAGCTTTATTCCAATACATTTGAAGAACAAAAAAAGTAGAGAAGACCAAACTAGGATATTAGTCGTATAGTCCATGTTTTTTCTGCACTATTGATAGATAGAGAAACAATGTCAATATAGTGTGCAACATGTTCATTTATGCATAATTTTCCTGAATTTCAATTTTGCACTAATGTCATTTGAAAAAACAACTGCTACCAACCTGCCTTCAATCAAGGACATGTATACTGCATGAATCAAAAAGAGGGCTGTGAAAATATTTAGACCTCTCACATCCCAGACATGAACTGTTTCAATTCCTAGTCTGCACTACTCTTACTATTAATCTTCTCATCACTCCTTATCACCCATCCCCTCCCACTTGTGACTGTATGACTGTAACTTTGTCGCTTGTATCCTTATGATCTATATTGACTGTTTCCTAGTATGATTTGATTGCTTATTGTACCCTATGACTATCATAAAGTGTTGTACCTTATGATTCTTTTTTTTAAACAAATTTTATTAATTTTAAAGACAAACAAACCACCATTAACCATTAATACATGAACCTCTTTCCATTGTAAATTTTACAAGTCAAATAAAACATTATTTTATACAATATAATTCTATTTTAGACCATTTCCATATGAGCATACAAATATCTCTTATCCAATTTCTCTTTATTACTCTTTACTCTTATCCAATTTCACTATTATTATTTTTCTCTATATTTATCCAATTTATAATTATCATCTATTTCTCTCTGACTTGGTTACCATTATTCTCATTCTATATTCCTGCAAGGTTTTATTAATTCTCCCACATACATAAACACACAAAACACAAAAATATAAAAGATCTTTTAGGAAAGTAACTTGGCCCCAGAAACCTCTCTCTACATGGACTTCAATTATATTCATGCTCATCTTACATGCCATTACCTATTTTATTTACCATTCTATATCTTCTAAATTAGCTTCTCCACACATTTCACTCTTCTTAATTCTATCTTATTTAATTCATTTTAATTTAAGTCATTATATTTGTATCTTTTGTCCATTCTTTATTATCCATTTGTCTCATTCCCTATAGTAAAAAGAAAAAAGAGTTTCTCCTGAGATCACTAATCAGAGTATGATGCCTTTCTATCATCCCCCTAAATTAACATTTAAAATAACACCTAATACCCAATCTGATTCTGCTTGGTACATTCTATCTACTAATTTTTTAAAAAAGAAAAATAATAAATCCAAAATGATTAAATACATTACTAAACATTTCAATATTTTAATCTCTTATTAACTCTTAAACCATTCTAATTTTCTATTTCTAATACAAATGCTACAGTACCATCATATGTACCTTGCAGAATCTTTTTTTTTAAACAAATTATACATTACCCTTTGTCCCTAAAAAAAATTCCTCTTTTCCCATCTGGTTTCAAAGCTTTGTGGCTTTTCTCCACCTTTTCCCTTTCTTTCTTCTCCCACCAGGCCTTTCTACCCCCCCCCTTCTCCTAGCCTCTGCCTTGTTAGCTTCCCTTCTCTGTTGTGTTCCTTTTTTCTTTTGTTTTCTAGCATTATATTGATTTTGCATCTTATTTTTCTCTTTCTTGGGTGTTTTTTTAAATCTTAAGTCCTTCATTTTCCTTCCTCTCTTTCTCCTCTCTTTCTTAATTACATTTTGAGATTCATCAAAGATGGCTTCTTCTTCTTCTTCTTCTTCTTCTTCTTCTTCTTCTTCTTCTTCTTCTTCTTCTTCTGTTGCTGCCTCCATCTGTTGTTGTGTTTGTTGATAAATAGCAAGCGCCATTTCTAAAAAGAGAAAAGCTTCCTTTACAGCGTCCTTGCCCTCTCTTTTTGTTTGTTCATATTCTTTTCTCAGTTCCTCGACGGAAAAAGCCATTATAAATCTTTTCTTTTTTTCCCCCCTCTTTCTTCTTACAACAACCAAGATGTTTCAAAAGTTAGAACAGTCCCAAAATCCCAAAGTCACCACTCAGTCCAAGCCAAAACAAAGTTCTCACTTTCTCTTCCTGGGGTAATATCAATCAAAAAAACGACCAAATCTGTATT